GCTGCACAGGAGTAGGCCCTGAGCAACAGAGCAATAGAGGCCCAGATCTACCACACTAGACAAGACCCCAGGTGCAGACTGTGCAAAGAGGCCCCTGAGACAATCCAGCACATAACTGTAGGGTGTAAGATGCTGGCAGGGAAAGCTTACATGGCGCGCCATAACCAAGTGGCTTGAATAGAATACAGGAACATCTGTGCAGAGTATGAGCTGGAAGCCCCAAGGTCACAGTAGGAAACACCTCCAAAGATGGTAGAGATCGCCATCCAAAGATGGCCGTTGTGGTAGACATAGCGATACCAAGTGACTGCAACATCAGGAAAAAGGAACATGAGAAACTAGAGAGATACCAGCAATTCAGAGAAGAGCTGGAGAAAACCTGGAAGGTCAAGGCATCAGTGGAACCCGTGGTCATTGGGGCCCTCGGGGCAGTGACCCACAATGACCCCAATATATATGGTAAATGGTAAATGGCACGTACTTATATGGCGCCTTTATTCAAGTCAGGAGACTTGACCAAAGCGCTTTACACTACATTAATTCACCCATTCACTCACACACTGATAGTGGCAAGCTACATTGTAGCCACAGCTGCCCTGGGGCTCACTGACAGAAGCGGGGCTGCCGTACACTGGCAGGTTCCGGTTTACTGAATGTGTAGGATTGGTTCCATATTTGCAATGATGGGTGTCAAAGGGTTGATATCACCACTTTCCTATTTTAATAAAAAAACTAAATTCATCCTTCTGTCTTTGTCCAGGAAGTCTTAGTATCTCCATTTAGTATCAGCCGTTGAGGCCAGAAAAACTTAAAAAAAAGGAAAATATTGTAAACATTTCACTCTAACCAACCAATCAGAGGACAGAAATTCTGATGTAGGGGCGGGGCCTCTAGCTGGCCCTGTGAGGCAAACCTGAAACCTGATTGGTTGGAGAAAATGTTTCTTGCTAATGTTGTTAAGTTTACATCAGCAGCACTGCTGACTCTGAAGGCCCTGGGCTGATTAGATTGCCATAGCAACACACTGAGGCTGAAATCTGATTGGACAGAAAATATAGCAACCAGATCAATGTAATGAAGCAGCGCAGCCAAGAGAAACACTTCAAAATTAAGAGAACGGATTGTTTGGAATAAATTAATACAGTTAGAAAGAAGAAAAAGTTACCTATGAATGTATGTTAGTGTTTCTGATTGATTTTAGGCCTGCAGTGAAGCCCTGAGCACACACCACTGCTGCACACAGGGACAGGGAAAGAGCACTAAACCCCAGAACAAAACGGTGAAGGGTTATGAAACTAACAAAAGTTAAATAAATCAGGTGTTTCTGTCAATGAATATGAAATAAACAAAGATGGAGGTGGAGATGACCGAAAGGATCTCTGATCAAACATTGGTTTGAACAGCGACACATTGGGCTGCAAATGTAAACACATGCTAGGAACAGAAATAAAAACATTATCAGTAGATTTTAACCTATAAACTATATATGAAGATGTCATTAAGTCTATCTTTATTTCACTGTTGCCAACAAAAAGTGTCTGAACACCAATGCACTAAAACTGTTACATGCTTTACGTAAAGACCTCAAAAAACATATTTTAGTCATTTTGTTGTGTTAATTTTCTTGTTGAGAAATAATAAAATTTAGGGTTCCAATAAAGAAAATCAATCCCTCAAGTCTGAATTTAAACAGAACTGAGCTGAGTGAAAACTATCCTGAATATTAGCTGACATGTTTAACTTAAATTCTATTCAGTATATTTCTATAGCTCCAATTCACATCATGTCATCTCAGGTCACTTTCCAGTTCACCAGATCATCCAGTCAGATTGATTCAAGTTTTCTATCTAAGGAAAACCAGCTGATTGCATCGACTCATTGACTCTTCAGCAATCCCTCACTCTAAGCATGCTTGTAGCGACAGTGGAGAGGAAAAACTCCCTTTGAACAGGAAGAAACCTCCAGCAGAACCAGGCTCAGTGTGAGCGGCCATCTGCTGAGGCCGACTGGGGTTCAAGGAGACAGAAGCAGACATAGAAAAAGAAGCATAGATACAAAAGGCAACTGTCAACCAGCTCCACAGGCGGCCCCGTCCAGGAAACACACAGCCAGGCAGACGAGCTCCGAGCCAGCTCCCATGTCAGAGGATGAAGAGAGCACATCCAGTTAGTCACAGTCAGAGAAACAGGACTACACTGGAAAAAAGGCCAAGCTCCAACATCTAGAAACAAAGATGTTGATGGCAGCAGCACAGCTGATATTTCTCTAGTTTAAAGGTTTAAATTGAAGGTTTGCATCTGAAGGTTTATTGATGCTCATTTCACCTCCTCCTTGATGCTGTAGTCTGTGATGTCCACCAGCTGGTTGCCCTCCTTGGTCACAGCCCAGATATCTGCTGTCAGCAGGATCTCCTTCACTGAGAAGATGCCCAGATTCTGCACCTAAGCACAGAGTAAATTAAACACAGGAAACTTTACAATAAGATTCTCCATTTAGATGTTCAAATATTAGTTTATTTTATTTTTTATCTATAAACACTTTATAAATATTTCGTGTGTTTATTGTGAGTTCAACATGGTTTTCATGCTAATGATGCTTAGAAATGCTTATTTTGCCTCCAACGTAGTAATTCAGCCTGAAATAGAAGCTATACGTTTGAACAGCTTAGACTAAAGATTTGGTAAGAAATTAGAAATTTTTTGGTCACCAAACACATTACTCTATCAACACATGCTCTCCTTAAACTAAAAACCGGCTTTATGTGCAGAGCTGGAAGAATACACAGCAACTGTTCCCTCTTACATCTGCATTTGTCCCAATGCTACATTCAGACCGCAAGCAGCGATAGCAGTAGAAGCCACAGAAACAGTTGGTTTACATGCAGTCAATGGCTGATGCGCATCATGTGCTAAAGGTCCTGCAGCGCGTTTTGAGCAGCCAAAGCAGCGCCTCATGAGCTTCTGAGCATCTGACGCACGCAATGCGCTTCACAAGCACCAGCTGCTGGAATTGAAAAAATGTAACTTTAGCTGCTGGACGCGCCACATCAACCAATCAGAGAAGCTGATCTGGGAGCTGGCAGGGAGACAGACACAGCACTGCTGATGCAGAGTGCTATGATCACTCCTCTGAAACAGTTTAATAACGCCTAAATTAACTTCAAATGTAGAAACCTGCCGGCAGAATATGTTTGCTGCAGTTTGGATTACGTATATGAACCGGGCCTGAGGCAGCTGCTGCTGGGGAATCCCAGTGTCAGCGCACCGCCGGTATGTGGGGGTCTGAGCGGCTCCCACAGATAAATAATCTTTGAAGGCAGGATGGTAATGTGGATGAACTGACTGCACTGAAAATGTTGTCAGGAGGACTTTCTCACTTAAATTTGGTTTCGACTTCTTTTTTGCCCCTTGTTCCCGGCAATTTTGGTTGCCTTTTTTCCGGGTTAGGAAGGGTTGGGTTGGTTCGGCCCACGGGCCTTCGGCCCCCTTTTCCCCCGGGGCGGTTGGGGCGGCAAGGTTGTTTCGGCTGGGGTTCGGACTTAATTTGTTCCAGGCTTCAAAAATGAAGCAGCACGCGTGTTTCTGCTGCTCCTGCTGCTTTAGGGCTGAACGCAGCATAAGAACGTTTCCATCCTAAAAGCCACCAGGTGTTCCCTGAATGGATGACAAGGATTGCAGCTCCTAACTAAATCCTGTAAACCAGAATAAATATGATGACCTTCGCTCTGGATGAAAACTCTATCTAGATTTAGAAGAGGTTTGAGGGCAAAACCTCCAACGCCTGCACTGTGAAGGTTTACTGGAAGACGACCTTGAAGCCTACAGACAGGCTGCTCTGCCAGATGGGATATAAAACCCGGAGGTCGTGTGCAGATGAGTGAAGATACATTTTCACCTCTCCCAACCAAAGCTAACAGGCCTGTTTGTCAAGTTTTTAAACTTGACAATATTTTTTTTACTGCCAGTACCCCTCCAGTGGCATAAACCAATAAAGGTTGTAGACTCCTATAACCTCAAACTCAAAGTATAAAAGCAAAGACTACTACATAAAATTGTAGAAAAAGATGTTTTAGAGATTCACTCATTCATCTCTTGGCCCTTTCAGTGAATGACTGCATCAAAGCAGTGTAGCGTCTGTGGTTGTGCTGAGGTGTTGTAGAAGCCTGGGGGGCCTCCAATCATCTGCATTTTTGGGTCTGGTTTCTCTGATGAGAGATCAGAGGTTAGGGTTTAGATGGTTAAAGATGGCTGGTTATGATGAAAGATGGATGGTTATGATGAAAGACGGTTGGTAACCACCAACCGTCTTTCATCATAACCATCCATCTTGGAGTCTTTGTTCTTGTTGCCATGACGGCACTCCAAAGCAGCGGCCAAGAATGGCTCCTCTCAACAATTTCGATAATTTAATTTAATATGCAGCTTAATACGATACAGACTAGACATCAAACCCGCATCTATGATCGCAAACGCCTGCTGGAGCTACGGTCACTAAATGTTTTAAATCCAGACATTTTTGACCGCTTAAAAAGCTTCGGAGTTCTACGGACGGAGGTCAACAACACAACAGTGGAACGTAACAATAGGAGGAAGAGATGTGCAAGACGGAGAAAGCGAGGCTTCAGAGGGGGTCTAACTGCGATGCTAAGGAGGAATCCCCACAGACCTCCGCTTCCATCAATCCTGCTCTCCAACGTCCGCTCATTGGAAAACAAAATGGATAATCTCCGACTGGAACTCTCATCAAGGAAGGAGATTAGTAACTGCTGCACCATCATTCTGACAGAGTCATGGCTGCATCCAGCAATACCGGACAATGCTATTAGCTTGGAGGGGCTAACGCTATACCACGCCGATAGGAACAAAGAACTAAGTGGTAAGATTCGGGGTGCCGGGCTCCGTGTTTACATCAACAACAGCTGGTGTAAAAATGCTAGATCAGTCACCAGCTTCTGCTCTTCAAACATCGAGTTTCTGACTGTTAACTGCAGACCGTTCTATCTGCCCAGAGAGTTCAATGTGGTTAGCATCACTGCTGTTTACGTGCCCCCCAGTTCTAACACTAAAGAGGCAATGAAGACTCTTATCTGCACACAAAGGGGGTTTTCATCATTACTGGGGATTTTAACCAGACTAACTTGAAGACTGTTTTCCCTAATTTTTACCAACATGTGGACTTTGCAACTCGGGGTGAAAACACTTTAGACCTAGTTTTACTCTGACATCAAAGATGCATTCAGGGCAGCCCCGCGCCCCCACCTGGGGTCATCGGATCACCTCTCTGTCATGCTTATCCCTGCATATAAGCCCAAGCTGGTCAGGACTAAACCGACAGTTAAAGAGGTCAGAGTGTGGTCTGAGGGGGTCATGGAAACACTCCAAGACTGTTTTGAATGCTCTGACTGGAGCATCTTCAAGGCTGCTGCAACATATGATAACTTGTTAAATATTGATGAGTATTCTATGACTGTGTCAGCCTACATCAACAAATGCATTGAGGACATCAGCATCAAAAAGAACATCACCACCCAGGCCAACCAACCACCCTGGATAAATGGAGAGGTTCAGAAATCGCTAAAAGCACCGAACTCAGCTTTCAAGTCTGGTGATAAAGAGGCACTAAGAACAGCTCATGCCAACTTAAACCATGCCATCAGATTAGAGAAGCAGAACCACAGCCAGAAGATCCAGGATCTTTTCTACGACGCCAGCAACACCAGGAGGATGTGGAAAGGCATTCGG